TTCACAGTCTGTATCAAGCTGCTTTCTGTATGCAGTGGTGATGGTTGGGGGGGACAGGGAAGGACGTTGCTGTCCTCCTTTACCTGTGCAAACAGTGTGGGTAAAATACCTGGTCCTTGCTTTGCAGAGCCTACAGTTTAGTCGGAAGAGATAGATAAGTAAGTGGAAGTTGACCACGAAGAACAGTGTGCTAGGGCAGGGAAGGGGGACCTGATTTGGAATGATGGGGAGGTCAGGGAAGGCCTGTCTTGGGAAATGCCTTTTTTTTGAGAGAAATTTTTGCTATAGGACGTGTGTGCTCGCCAGAGAGACAGAGAGAGATGGGAAGAGAGAAAGTGAAAAATCACTCCCCAGGGGGATGCCTGTATCACAGTGTCTTCTCCTCCATTCTCTTCTCGGGATTTTGGGCACACACGCGCATTTACCTGGCGTGAGTTTCAAGCCACTGGGTCTGGGACTTGAATTGCAGTCAGTCATGTGGGAGTCCAGCACCTTTACCATTACGCCACCTGCTGGCCCTGAGAGGTGACTGTTTCTTTGTCAGCAGTGGCCTTTGAGAATCTGCTTAAAGAAAAGGACTTTTTCCCAAAAAAGTGTACAGAGACCCACGGTGTTTTGCTTTGAGTTCTCTTCTCCAGCTTGACGCAAGGGAATATCTACAAAGAGCTAAACTTGGCTGAGATGGGTGGGGAGGGAAGTCAGGACGTGACATATCTAACTCAACTGTGGGGCTCTGCACTGCATTGATGAGGGCAGCGTGGCCCGGCCAGAGGTTGCGTGGCCGAGGCAAGTTTCCGGCAGCTGTAGCCTACCAGACACTGAGGATCTCTAACTGTGGCTGTGCTTGTCATGAACCTGAATTTAGAACCCTATGCTTAGAGGAAATACCCAAGTAGCCTGCATGCTTGTGGGGCTGACAGAGTGGGAACCGTACTGGGGGAGCTAGAGTCCCACACTGGCTGCTGCCGCCAACTTTCTGACAGTAGCCCAGGAGACGGCTAGGCTGAGATCTTCATGCAAGGCTATGCTGACCAGGTCAATGCTCTGCTTGAACCCTTTGTGGCCCAGGGCAGTTGTCTTAACAGGGTGGGAATGCTGGGACCTTACCCCACCTTTCAGCCTGCTCTGTACTCTACCTGCCTGGCTGTTGCAACCGCTCTGGATTCCCCAGATGGGACACCTGTGTGGCTTTGCACATGCTCTGTCTCCAGCTGAGCATCCTTCTCTTGCTGCATCTTCAACAGGTAAATTCTTAGAAGTCTTTTAAACACGCGGCTTATTACTCCTCCTCTTTGAAGTCCTCCCAGGCCTGCTGCTCTTTAGAGCGGTCATACCTTCCTTCTGTACTCAACTGCTGCAATTCATCTCTTCCTCTCCTCTCCCATCTCTTCCTCCTTCCCTTCCCTTCTTCAGCAGTCAGTTACTGGGCATCTAACCAGTTCTGGTCCCTCTCAACAATGAGCAAAAGTGGACTGCGACCCCACCCTCAGGAGATCGAAGTCCTGTGGTGGTGTAGGAAAGTTTCACATTTTCTCTTTTCCCTAAAAATGTAATGAGTTGTTTGTTTGTTTTTTTGGGTTTTGTTGTTGTTGTTGTTTTGGTCTATGATATAAACTAACAACAGATTAACAGGGGAAAAATATTAGTTTCATTAAAAGCATGGAGTTCAGCAAATGAGACTCAAAGAAGGACCAGGATGTTGAAGATTTTATACCCTGCAGACTTGGACTTAGGCTGTGGAAGGAGGAGGGGGAAAGATTCAAAGGTTATCCTTTTTCCTGGGCCAGGTGTCAGATCTCTAATCCCTTTTTCCTGGGCCTAGGTAGGTAAGATGGTAGTTCTGCAGAAGCCAGTTTGCATGACTGCTTGCTTTACTAATGTAAATAATAAAAGTTTCTTTTACAAAAGCCTAGCCTTCTTTTTTTCTCTAAAGCTAGTTCTTTACCTGCAGTGCCTCTGAGTAGTCATCCCAAAATGTGCCCCCAAAAAGCGTGCTTTGAGGAGACGTGTTTTAGTTTGCCATAGTGGCTACATAAACTCACCAAACAATGCAAATGTCAGGTCTTTTTCTTAAAGAAGTTAAGGTGAGGAGAAAAGATCTCCTTGACTTAAAAAACGATACATATAGAAAGTCTTTTAGAAAGTCTTCTAATCTCAGATCTGTGGCTAGTTAATTAAAGCCCTAGGATTAGGGGATTTTTTCATACTCAGTTTCTTCATATATAAACATTAGGGAGAGAAAATAATTTGTTTAGACTTTGAGCACCTGCCATGAACAAAGCTCTGGGCTCTCTGGAGAACAGGCCATAAGAGAAGATATCAGTGTGAAGTCTCAACCCAAGCTTCACTTTTATAAGGCAGCCTACCTGCCCTTGGAGAAGCTAGTGAAAAAAAGAAAAAAGGGACCAGTAGATGGCATAATGGTTTTGTCGCTGGACTCCCACGGAGTTGACTACAGTTCATGCCAGACCTGGCCGCTGGCTTAAAACTTACACCAGGCACATGCGCATGCATGCCCAAGATCCTGAGAGGAGAATGGAGAAGGGATTGCTGCTTGGCCATGCCTTCTGGGGGTGATTTCTCGCGTCCTGTTTCTCTGATTCTCCACAGAACGCACATGCCGTATAGCAAAAACCTCTCTCAAAAAATAAAAAGTAGAAGAAATCAGGCTCTTGCTGCATCTGTAGCGTCCCTTCATAGTGTCTGTCACAGTTTAGAATTCAGCAGTTGTTTTAGTACTTGATTGTACTTGCTTACTAGTCCATAGACTCCATGAATGTGGGCAGTGCATTTTTTTTTAAATAACAGCTTTATTGAATTATTAACAATTCACATACCTTAATACCCACCTTTTTAAAGTGTGCAGTTTGGTGTTAGTGCATTCACAGGGTTGTACACCATCTCCATTATCTTGATTTGCCTTCTCCTTTTCTCTCTTTCTCTGTCTCTAGAGAGCTCATGTGCCCTCTAGCAAAAATAAAAATAATAATAATAATGATTTTAAAAAGAAATGAGAAGGGGTTGCAGCATGACCATGCCCCATAGGAGATGCTGTCTCACTTTCTCTCTCTTCTGATCACATGTACCTTGGGCAAAACTTAAAAAAAAAAAAAAAAAAAGGTTAAGTTCTTAAAAAGAAAGGAGAAAGCTATGCATAGATTTCTATTTTTTGTACTAAAATGAATTTGTACTTTAATTCCAAAAAGTAAGAAAATATATAAATGGAACCATACAATATATGGCCTTTCATGATGACTTTTTTTCACTAACCATAATTTTTTATAAGAAATTATTTTATTTGGGACCAGCAGTTAGCATAATGGCTATGTCGCTGGACTCCCACGTAGTCGACTGCGGTTCAAGTCCTGGACTCAGTGGCTTAAACTCATGCCAGGCGCGTGGGCGTGTGTGCCCAAGATCCCGAGAGGAGAATGGAGGAGAAGGGATTGCGGCATGGCCATCCCCCCTGGGGAGTGATTTCTCGCTTTCTGTCTCTCTGTCTCTCTCTGTCTGGCGAGCGCACGTGCCCTATAGAAAAAAACCTCTCCAAAAAAAAAAAAGAATTATTTTATTTAACTTTATTTAATTATTTATTTTAATTTGACCAAAGAGGGACAGAGCAAGAGAGAGAGAAAGTAAGAAAGCAAGCCACCAGGTCCAAGGCTCAAACCGTGGTCAGTCATGTGGGAGTCCAGCACCCCTAACCACCATGCCACCTGCTGGCCCTCACTTACCATAATGTTTTTAAGGTACACCTCTGTTCTAACATGTATAATAATCCATCATATGGAAATATATTTTATCAAATAAAATACATTTTTAAAATCTGTTCATCAGTTGATAGACATTTACCTTGTTTGCATTTTGGGCTATTATGAATAATACTGCTATGAATATATGAAGTTTTATGTGTTCATAAGTTTCATTTCTCAGATATATGCCAAGGATTGCCATTGCTGGGTCATGTGATAACTGTGTTTAACATTTGAAGAACTACCAAGTTGTTTTCCCACAGTGGCTACACTAACTTACTTTTCTACCAACAGCGTATGAGGCTTCCAGTTTACCCACATCCTCATCAACACTTGTTTATTTTCAGTTTTGTGTTTTGTTTTGTTTTTAATAACAGCCATACTAATGGACATAGAATAGTATCTTATTTTGGTTTTGATTTGCACTTCCCTAATGATTAGTACTGCTGAACATCTTTTCATGTGCTTGTTGGCCATTTCATACCTTTTTTGGAGAAATATCTGCAATCCTTTGCCCATTTTTAAATCCGGTTATCTTATTGTTAAATTCTAAGTGTTCTTTATATATTCTGGATACATGCGATTTCCAAATATTTTCTCCCATTTTGTGGGTTTTCTTTTCACTTTCTTTTTTCCTTTTAAACTTTCTTTTTATTTTCTCTTCTCATCAGAGAGAGAGAGAACCCTAACAGAGTCTCCTGGCCTCAATACTTGGCCAGCCTTCAGCTGGATCATGAGCACACACTTTCCCAGCATACTCAGGAAGGTCTCCAAACTTGAACCTGGAGCTTTCCCATATGGCATTGCCTCACAAAATGTGGCATTTTATGAATGTACCACTGTCTGCCCCTTTTCACTTTCTTGATGGTGTCTTCTGAAGCATGAAAGTTTAAAATTTTGATATCTAACTTATATGTCTTTTTCTTGTGTGACTTCTGTTCTGATGTCCTATCCAAGAAACTGTTGCCTAATCTAAAGTCATAAAGATTTACCTCAATGGGGACCAGCAGGTTAAGGTGCTGGACACTCCCACGTAGCTAACTGTGGTTCAAGTCCTGGATCTGGTGGCTTGCTTTCTCACTTTCCCTCCGTCTCTCTCTCTCCCTCTCTTTCTGGTCAAATTAAAATAAATGAATAAATAAATATAATTAAATAAATAATTATTTTTTAAAAAGATTTACCTCTGTTTTCCTCTAAGAGCTTTATAGTTTTAAGTTTTACATTTAGTTCTATGTCCATCTTTTCCAGATTATTTCCTCAATGCCTAGAATAAGCCTAACATATAGAAGGTACTTGATATTTATTGACTGAAATGAATGAATGAATGAATGTCACTTGAATGAATGAACAGATATCAACTTCTAGATCTGTTGCTAGTTAGATAAAGCCCCAGAATTAAGAGAGAAGCAATATAAGAAAGAGGGTAACAGACCTAGACCCTCAGCCTGGTGGTTAAATGAATTGGATCCCACATGGCCAATTCTGTGATTTGAATCCTGGCCCCAGCTGCTTGAAAAACATGCTGGGCATGTGTGCATACATTCCCAAAATCCCAACAGGGTGGAAAAATGGAAGAGAAGCAATTGTGGCATTACCACACTACATCGGGTGTGCCTTCTCCCTCTCACTGCACTTTTCTGTTTTTCTGGAGAGTGCATGTACCCTCTGGCAAAAAAAGAAAAAGAGGACACCAGTTTTTATTCATCTCATTTCCCCCTCCCATAATCTACCCTTAGTGAGCGCTCATGATCATTTTTCTGCCAACTTCCTATTTTACTTTAGTTTTATTTCTCTTTAATTTCCCTATTTGACAAACGTCACTAAGACATTTCCTAAACAAATAATGTCTAATCTACTTTGGTTAAATGGTAAACATGGTAGATATACAAGAAAAAATTTTCTGTTGAAAAAGTGTAGCATTTCCTTTTTGGGGTGTGTGTGTGTGTGTATGTGTGTGTGTGTTAGACAAATAAATTCAGATAATGAGGCAGTGTATAAGTTACAAAGTAAAAGTTGCCTCTTGGTGGGAGTGTCATGATAGCTGGAATTTACTTTCAGAAAAAAGTGTGTGTGTGTGTGTGTGTGTGTGTAGACTGAAAGAAACCCAAATGGTAGCCATTAGTGGATCGAGTTGTAGAGGATTCGGGAGTTCCTTGTACAGCTATTTCGACAGCCCTGTTTAGGTTGATTTAGAAAACAAGAACAACAAAAACTATCTCTCATAGTCGTACCTTTTGAGGAAATTAGCTGTGGGCCCTGAGACATTACAGTGTGCGAGGCATTTTGCATACATGTTTCATTTGTTTTATTTAATCTTCAGCTATTGAGGAGGAAATAACAGTGAAGCCAGGTGGCCAGGATTATGCAATCTGGCTGAGTAGTGGGGCCCAAATTTGGACACGGGTATCTGACCTCAAGGCCTCATTCTTATGTGGCCTTGTATATCTCAGATAGCAGACCCCCTATCCCAGAATGCCCGCTCCTTCTGTCATCTCATAGGTCCCTGGTATTTTATAGCCTGTACTTAGTGAGCCAGACAGGAGACAGCCCAGCAGTTTCTAGAACAGAGGGGCTGCCATTCTGCTGCTTGAAGGAGACTAAGCAAAGGAGGGAACCACTGCCTGCCAGCCAGTCAGCAGGCAGGCCCTGAGGTTTCCGTTTCCTGGGGCATTCAAGGCTCTTGGGAGACAGCCCTCACCCACCTGCGCCCCACCTGTCCCCCAGGAACTGAAGCTGCCTGCCTTCCGAGCCCACTCTCCGCTCCTGAAGAGCCGCCGTTTTTTTGTTGACATCTTGACCCTGCTGAGCAGCCACTGCCAGCTCTGCCCCGCGGCCCGGCATCTGGCCATCTACCTGCTGGACCACTTCATGGACCGCTACAACATCACCGCGTCCAAGCAGCTGTACACCGTAGCCGTCTCCTGCCTCCTGCTCGCGAGTGAGTGCAAACCACTTCCTCTGTGCTTGTGCTGTCTTCTTCCCCTCGGCAGGCCTGGCTGCTCCCAGACCCACCCTTCCTTCCTTCCTTTCTTTCCTTGATAAATTCAGTCATGGGTGAGCAGATGATGTAGCAGCTACATCACTGGACTCCCACATGGCTGACCTCAGTTCGAGTCCCAGGCTCAGAGGCTTGAAAATCGCGCCGGGTGCGTATGCATGCATGCCCAAGATCTCCAGGGAAGAATGGAGGAGAAGGGACTGCGTGGCCATCCCCCCAGGGGGTGATTTCTCACTTTCCCTTATACTGTCTCTGTCTCTCTCTCTCCCTGGCAAGCGTACATGTCCTAAAGCCAAAAAAAAAAAAAAGTTACTGTATGTCATTACAGTATGCCTGTATATTAGTCCAGTTAAAGATATTATCATACATGTTATCGTCAATAGACACTTTTCTGGTTTTGTGTCCCTTAAATGTTTTGCTTCTTTCTTTATCTCCTTGATTCCTTTCCACCCACCTTCCTCCACTTCACAGTCCCCTCCCATACTTCCCAGACCAGCTCACACTGGATATCTTTTCTGTTTATCCTCGGCTGAGCGTGAGCCATAAGAACGGTCTACACTTTGTACCTTCTGCACGTACCAAGCTAATTGATAGGGATTTTAGCACCTTAGTCATCCTCTCAGGGACCCCAAGAGACAGGTTTCTTAGTAACCCATTTTACCGAGGCAGAGAGGTTAAGAAACTTGCCTTGGGGGACCAGCACATGGCGTAGCGGCTACATCGCTGGACTTCTATGCAGTTGACCACGATTCGAGTCCTGGACCCAGTGGCTTAAACTCATGCCGGGCATGTGTGCATGCATGCCCAAGATCCCGAGAGGAGAATGGAAGAGAAGGGATTGTAGCATGGACATCCCCCCTAGGGGGTGATTTCTCACTTTCTGTCTCTCTGTCTTTGGCGAGCGCACATGCCTTATAGTAAAAACATCTCCAAAAAAAGAAAAAGAAAGAAAGAAAGAAACAAACAAACAAACAAACTTGCCTTGGGCCCAGTTAGCATATGGCTAATAAGATTTGCACCTGGAACTGCCTGCTGTCAGAAGCTGTGCCCTTCACAGGTAACTCTGACTTCCTGGTGTGGGAACTCTGAATGCGCTGAGAGGGGAACCTTAGCAACCGCTGTTCTTAGAGGTGTTTAGAAATGTGACTTCTTCGGCCAGCTGGTGGCATGGAGGTTAAGGTAACCGGATCCCACAGGGTTCATTCTGTGGTTTGAATCCTGGACCTGCCGGCTTGAAAAATCACACTGGGCATGTGTGCATGCATGTCTCTGTCTCTCCCTCTGGTGATCACATGTACCCTATAGCAGGCCTGGGCACAGCCTCTTGGGGTTTGCACCTTCCAATGAAGCCTCATAAAATATCCAACATGCTTTGGATCATTTGCCCTTCTGCCTTGGGAGAGATTACCCTGCGAATACGCTGCTGCCTCGTGATCTCCTTCAAACACAGCTCTGCCATGCCACCCTGCCACTTCAGATTGACACAGACTTTGCCAGCCTTCTTGAGGTAAAGACCAGCCTTAGGTTCCTGCCTCTCTGCCCTCATGCCTGTTCTTCTCATCCCTCCTCTGCTTCCTGCCACAATGGTCCAGCCCTTTCATTTTGCAGAACTTGACCTGCATTATTTCCCTCTGCCTGCTTGGTTCTGGTAACCCATCACTCAGGATCCATGTTCCTATGAAAACCTTCCCCAGTGCCTCAGCCTGGGAGGCCTGAGACAGACCATTACATCCTGCACTGTGAACTAACACCCACCACTCTGACTTGGCAGTGAATGTCAGAGACGGAGAGGAGCTTACAGTGTAAGACCTCAGAAAACTGCATGTGAAATGAATGAAATGAATGAAGCTAAGGGTTCCCCCTTTTCCAGGTTGCCCTTAACACAGAGGAGTGGGATGCCCCAAAGGCCTCAGGCTTGAAGTGACCAGCTGCAATTAGAGCATTTCTTTGACACCTAATATTTGATCCTTAAAATTCTCTCAGATTCCACCTTTCCCTCTGTGACATGTTGTTGTCTTTTTTGTTGCATGTCCCCCTCACTCCCCACTCCCAGTGTTGAGTCCTGATGGTGCAGCAGGAAGATGGCGCCCGTTTCCTCCTCTGGCTTTGTCTGCTCCTGGCATGCTGCCATACATCCCCCTGGGCACCATCCCCAGGTCCGGGTGCCTAGCTTCTGCGTTTTCACAGTTCCATCTTGTTTTCTACGGTGACACCTCCCACCTGCTGTTGTTTCTCATCCCTGTGGCAGCTTTGGGTTTACTGCCTTGCAATTTGTCGTTTTTCTCTGCCGTGGGCCAAGTGGATTTCCCATGTCACACATGGGGGCCAGTCTTGCCAGGCGTCCAGCTCGTTTGCTGCTTCAGAGTCCCAAATCAATGTGCAACTCCCTTGGGAGGAGATGCAGGGCTTGCGAGACATCCCCATCAGCAGAGGACAGAATAGGCATCATGTTTCAGGCGTGCAGAAGAAATCTATGCCGTGGCCTTTGGCCTGCTGCTGTCTGTGATCTATGCGCTGCATCAAGACCTGCTGGGGGCAGGGGACTTAAATTTCCATGGGACCTTGGAGGCTCTCCGTGTGCGTCTGTCTGGGGAGCTGAGATGCGAGGCGCACACTGGAGACTCCTTTGTGCTGCTGTCGCCATGCCAGAGGGAGGGGGCCCTGCAGACGGAGAGGCCCACGCCTCCACCCACATGTCTGAGGGCAGCAGCCAGCCTCAGGCAGCAGGACGGATTTTTCAGGACACCTGCCATATGCTCCAGGGGCCAGAGGAAAGAAAAGTTTCCATGACAGCCTGAAATCCAATTCATTCCTCCTTCCCCCCTCCCCAGGCCTACTGTCAGCCACAAGGGGGGGTCACCTTGCCTTGGGAAGTTAGAGTTCTACTAATTTGGTGCCAAATAATTCAGATAAGAGCTAAGATTCTTGCCCCATCTGTCAGTTATCAGGTTTTTTAAGCTGCTTCCAGATAAGGCCTTTTCCATGGATGGGACCTCTCACCTGCATTCAGTTCAGCCCCTTCTATGCCCTAACATAGCAGTTGGTCAAGGACCCACCTCTGCAGGCCTGTGGAAGGAGACGATAAAAGCCCCAGCGTGTAGGTCGTTCCACAGCAGACATGTGGCAGGGCTGCCCCTTTGTCTCTGCAGCTGCGTTAATTGTGTCTCCGGCCTTATTGAACACAGGATAGAATTGTAATGTAAACATGGTACGGTATAAATATACCGTGAATGTGGTAGAGCCGCATCTTCAGTCTTTCATCTTAGACGTCATCCTTCCCCCAGCTGTCTTTTTTGTTGTTCTCGTTAGCTAATTAAAAGGACAACTTGACAATGTGGAATCTCCACGGCTTCCAGTTGAGATTCTGCACTGTCAGAATAGACACCCAAGGGGCCACAGCTCCAGTACTTCCAGGCCCCTTTCTCCACACCGACCTACGCCAAGCATCATACCCATGTCTCATGGCATCCCTATGACCAGCTTGGGTATAGTGCTCAATGGTCCATTGTATAGGTTCATAGAGGCTGAATAACTTGCCTAAGATCATGTAGTTTAGGGTTTTGCACTTATTTTTTTAGTTGAGGTAAAATGTATAGCAAAATTACTATTTTATCCTTTGAATTGAATTTTTAAAGAATTATTTTTTATTCATCATCATATTATTATTATTTAATTTGATGAGAGAGAGAGAGACAGACAGAGAAAAAGAGAGAAAGCAGGCCACCAGGTTTGGGACTCAGACCATGGTCAGCCATGTGGGAGTCCAGTGCCTTAATAACCACGCTACCTGATGGCCAAAATTGAACTGAACTGAAATTTCCTCTAGAGTACATGCATTTGCTGGAAATGAGGATGGGGGCAGGGACTGTGAGAAAGCACTCCCAGGAAGAATGTTACACTGCAATCCTTCTCCTCTCAGAATATGGGGCACACATGCACTTGTGCCTGGGGTGATTTTCAAGCCATCAGGTCCGGGACCTGAACCGTTCATTCAGCCATGTGGGACCCAGCTGCTTTAACCTACATCACTGGCTAGCTCATACTGACTGTCTCTTAGATAGGGTTGTGCTATTCCCATCCTCCTGCTTCAGCCTCCTAGCTGGAACTACAGGCAGATGCCACCACCCTGGCTCTTATTTTTTTTTATTTATTCTTGATAGAGTGTATGTGCACACACATGAGAGGAAGAGAGAGGGAGAGAGAGACAAGCACCCTTCACAGGTCTGGTCACAAGATGATCCCCTTCCTGCAGTCTTCCAATAAGATCTTGGGTACTCTGCATGCACCTAGCATGTTTCAGACTGGCCAATCTGAAGATTCAAACCATGTCCACCAGTTAAGATCCACTTCTCTTGAGAAGCTGATACCGCTGGACCATGGAGCTGGCCCCCAGCCCTTTTTCAGACAGGGTCTTGCTAGGTTACCCAGGCCATCCTTGAGCTCAAGATTCTCCTGCCTCATCCTCCCAGAAGCTGGGATTACAGGTGTGCACCACCATGCCTGGCCATTAGCTTGCATTGGGAACTGAACTCAGGCCTCCCCTGTGGTCCTAACTTGGGGAGCACAGTGTCATAGCCCAAGTGGCAGCAGTGGGGCCCCGTCTGTTTCTTAAGATAGAGAACTGGTTTTTGTAGGTGAGATGGAGTCCTATGCTATGCTGGCCTTCATCTCAGTTCCCCACGTGCCCCAAATCCTGAAAGGAGAGAGAAATGGAGAAGAAGGGATTGCAGTGTGACCATGCCCCATGGGAGAGGGGTGGTGCATTCTCCCTCTCTCTCTCTCTGGGAAGCTCATTTGCCCTCCAGGAAAAAAAAAAAAAAAGAAAAGAAAGGCTCCCAAGCACAGAGTGTCAAACAGTATGGTGGTCTTGTGGCCTTTCTGCCAGGAAAGAGCCCTCTCTGGCACTAGCCCTTAGCCCTGAGTGAGTCTATTGTGCTGTG